TGTCCCTGTCCCTGTGTCCCTGCCCTTGTCCCCATTCCTGTATTCCCATCCCTGTGTCCCTGTCCGCGTCCCCATCCCTGTGTCCTCATCCCTGTCCCTGTGTCCCTGTCCGCATCCCCATCCCTGTGTCCTCATCCCTGTGTCCCCATCCCTGTCCCCATCCCTGTGTCCCTGTCCCCATCCCTGTGTCCTCATCCTTGTCCCTGTCCCCATCCCTGTCCCTGTCCCCATCCCTTGTGTCCCTGTCCCCGTGTCCCTGTCCCCATGTCCCTGTCCCCATCCCCGTGTCCCTGTCCCCATCCCCGTGTCCCTGTCCCCATGTCCCTGTCCCCGTGTCCCTGTCCCCGTGTCCCTGTCCCCATGTCCCTGTCCCCGTGTCCCTGTCCCCATGTTCCTGTCCCCGTGTCCCTGTCCCCATCCCCGTGTCCCTGTCCCCATGTCCCTGTCCCCATGTCCCTGTCCCCGTGTCCCTGTCCCATGCCCGTGTCCCTGCAGGGCTGTGCAGCTCCTGGGCTGTGGGAGCAGTGCTCGGTGCCAAGCCCCATTGCTGCCCTGCTCCTGGGCTTTCCCCCTCCTGCCCTGCACAGGAGCTGCACTGCAGCAGCTTTGCTGCTTTTTCCTCCTTTTCTGGCACTCCTTTTGGGTGGGGGTGCAGGGATTGTGCTTTTTGGTGCTCGCTACTGATTTCCTGTCAGATATTTCCTCTGGAAAATATTGTGCCTTAGCTTAGCCACGCACGTCTGTGCTGAAATGGAAATTGCACCTGCTGAAAAATCTCATGCAGCACGATCTTTTAAACTGAGGAATGGGGTTATATATAACACTCTGGGTTTCGCTGTATGGATTTATTTTATTTTATCGATAAATACAAGCATAATGTTGTTCAGTAGAAGGCATATTGAAAACACCTGCCTTGTTCAGGGTAGAGAATAACACCACCACCAACAACAAAAACCCGAGCAATGTGCTGCAGGTAATTCATAAAAGGTGAATAATTAAAGCAGGAGCTGCTGCAGCAGGTGGAGGGAGGCGGGGTGGTGGGAGGGAGGCCAGAAATGCGAGTTTCTCCAGGATGGAGGTGAACCATGAGGCGTGTGGCTGAGGTAAAAGCAGATTCCAGACCTTTTTACAGCTTGACCTGTCTCTCTGTCCACCACGAAGAACGGAGAGACCCCGTGTTTGGCTGTGATTTATGGGTCAGTTGTGGTTCCTGGGCTTGCTTTGGGGATGCAGGACGGGGATCCCATGGATGTGGGATGTGCTGGGTGTGTTCCCATGGCTGGGACACAGAGCTCTGCTCCACACACTGCAGCTCGAGTTCCCAGATCCAGCATGAATCCTGCAGGTGAGGGCAAGCCTGGAGGAGCAGGACAGCTCTGGGGACAGGAACTGTGCTGTCTCTGCTCAGAAAAATCCTTCCTTTAGCGTGCATTTCAGAGGAAATGGCTTTTGGCTGAGGAGGGGAGATTTAGACTGGGTCTGTGGAAGGAATTCCAGCCAGTGAGGGTGGGGAGGCCCTGGCACAGGGTGCCCAGAGCAGCTGAATATTCCCCTAAATCTCATTTTCTCAGCGATGCCATTGGGCTGATAGAGAGAGACCCATCATTGTTATCTTCTCATGGAGGTTCTGCTGCCTCAGAGCTCGGATTGCTTTTGTTTAGTAATAGTGCTAAGATTAATTGCTGGATGTGTTTACAAGCCAGTGAGAGCTGTCATGTGCTCCTGAATATATCCTGCCAGTGGCATTCTTCTCTTGAATGATCTTCAGGGCTTTCTTCAAGTTAAAAAGTTCCAGCTGTGCCTCTGAGTGAGGGGTGACTCTTGTTCAGTCTGCTTCTCCTGCTTGGGAGATTTATTCTTCCCTCAATGATGAGAAATAGGGAAAAGTTGAAATAGGGAAAAGAGTTGTCACCTTCCATCAACTTATTTCTGCATGAGCTTTCAGTAGTAAACTGTTGGGGTTCTGGGGGGATTTTGTAGGTTTTGTAATGACATTTGAAGTCCCTGATCCCATCAGCTCATCCACCTTCCTTCTCATTTCTCTATTTTTTTTTCAATGCCCCTTTTATTCAAATCAATAAGCAGGGCAAGTCAGGCATATTTGGCAGCAACACTTTTACTTATTGTGTTGAGTGTTCCATAAATACTATAATTTGAAGGCACATGCAAAATGGGTCCTTGTTCAGATTAAATAATGTCACATTAGCATAGGAGCACTTCAGTCTCTGTTCTATTTTTTGGTGGAACTAAGTTACCCTTCAATTCTCTGTAACACAAATACCAATTAGCCAGGTAGGACACACTTTTATTTTCTCCCTTGGGAAGGCTTGGGCTGACAGTTGCTATAGCAACTCTAAATATGTGAATTTGGGAGTTATGAAGAATTTAATGCAACATTTGTTGGAGTTTTACACTGTTGGATTGTGGAGAAAACCAGGCTTTGAGGCTCCCAGGGAATGTGACTGAGTCTGCCATGGATTGGGGCTCACACAGGGACAGTGTGGACTGCAGCTTTTGTTTAAAGGAGCATTCTGTAACAGGAATTTCTCACTGATGCGCTTTCACTTCACCCATCACTTCATTATCTGCATGTTCAGGTGCTGAAGTTCTTAAATTTAAATCTGAGAACAGCCTGGAATTGAAGGATCTGGCATTAGATTGTCCTGAGTCAAGCCTGAACTGAGGAGCAGCTTCACCTCACCATAGTTCAGATCCTGGAGCCACGAGGTCTGGAGATCCTCAAAGCGCCCTCAAAGGGAATCCAAGAAAATCCACATTTGTGGAGCACTGGAGTTCTGCATTTTAACTGAGGAGAAATTCGGTGTTCTTTGAAATCTAGAAGTGACATAAGCAGTGGAATTTTGATCCTGGCCTAGGTTCTTATCAAGTTACATGACACCACTGCTGAAAAGTGTATAAAAACCCTCGGGAGAACCTTTGAGTGTCTATAGAGCTTCAATTCTAATTTCTGTAGAACTAAACAAAATTTTTGAGCACAACTTCTGGGTAAAGTTCTCAGCAAGATTTCCTTTATTTCCTCCTGCATTCATTTGGCCTCCCCAGTGGGAAGGGGGCAGTGACCAGTGAAACCCAGCCAGATTTAAAGGTTTTCCAGGTCTCAGTGCTGCCCTGCTTTAACCCAAAGCAGGAGCTCAGGATTTCCAGCTGTGTGGTTGAAGTGCTGCAGGAATCCCAGGTTCTGGAGCTGTTTTCCTGCCCCTGGTGCTCGGGGGGGCTTTGTTCCCTGAGCAGACCCCACAGACCCAGCAGCCCTGGCTAGAGCTGGGTGATGGCTCGGAGCCCCTGGGGGAGAGGAGATCCTGGAAATGTGGGATATTCCTGGCTGGGCTGGGGCCTGGTGCTCTCTGCATCCCTCAGGGGCTCACCACCAGCTCTGCCACCACGGCTGGGAAACAGAAAGGAAACCAGCAAGGAAATGGTGGCACATTTGTGTGTGTGCCACACTCAGGTGCAGCACAGGGAACTGGGGGGTTTGGCAGGACAGGGACAGCCTGGGAAGGAGCCTCTGCTCCTCAAGGTGGTGATGGAAAACACAAAGACATTTTGGTGATGAACAGATTAGCCAGAGTGCTGTATTCCCAAGGCAGGGCTTTCCTGGGAAAGGGATTCCTCCCTCTGCTTGGTCCTGCCTGGAGGATTTCCCTCCTGCCCGAGTTCAGGCTGAAAACGCAGCTCTGTGTGGTGTCTCTGCCAGGCAGGTATGTAAAGGCAGGGAACAGCAATGTAAAGGCAGGGAACAGCAATGTAAAGGCAGGGAACAGCACACGTGCACTCTCTGAGTGAAAGAAGGGCTGATTGGAGTAATTAGATCCTCCTCAGAAAACCATAAATTAACGGTGATTATGATTCCTGAAAGAACAGAAGCAGAAGGTACAGGTAGCGTTGCTCTGGTTTATCACATTTGCTGCATTGTAATGCTCCTTTAATGTTAATATGTACTTTTGTAGTAAAATCTAATTGCAAGCACTGAGCAGGCAGAGCCCAAGGCCACAATCGTGTTCCAGACGATTCCCTGGGGAGGGGGGGCTCCCCCAGCCAGCAGTGCCACCAGCAGAGCAGGCACAGCACAGGGACAGGCCAGGGCTGCAGGTAATTAACCATCAATTAATGCCCTGGCTGCAGCTCTCACCGACTGGAGCAGCTCTCCTTGCTGTGGGAGCGCCCCTGTGTGCTGTGAACACGGGCTCAGCTCGGCACCACTGACCCCATCCCTGTCCCCACCCTGCTGCTGTGTGCCCCAGGGACCCTCAGAAGCCTCTGATGGCTGGCACTGAGGGTCTCTTTGCTGTGATGATTCCAGCCTTCTCCATTCCCAGCTCTGCTGAGGAGACAGAAAAAAATAACTATTGGGAACATGGGAAAATAACTGGACCCCAGAAAGGAGAGAGGGCATTACAGAGGTGAAACCACAGAATATCCTGAGTGGGAAAGGACCCAGCAGGATCACCCAGCCCAGCTCCTGGCCCTGCCCAGAGAACCCAAATCCCACCCTGGGCATCCCTGGAGGGTTTCCAAAGGCTCCTGGAGCTCTGGCAGCCTCAGGCTGTGCCCATTCCCTGCGGAGCCTGGGCAGTGCCAGCACCTCTGGGGGAAGAACCTTGCCCAAAATGCAGCCTGAGCCTGGCTCCGTGGCACTGCTGCAGCGCTGCAGCTGCATCCAGCTCCTCCCCAGGCTGCTCTGTCTCCATTTGGAGAGTTCACCAAGGGCCCCAGGTCTGGGGGATGTCTGTTTGACTGGAAGAGCAGATTTGGAATATCTGTGGTGCTTTTCCACCTGGGAGCCCTGGGGCTCTCAGCATCCCCAGCCCTGGGCAGGCCACGGCTGCCCCTGTCCTGTGCACACACAGGAGCTCCAAAAAGGAAAAGTGGGCAAGGAAGGTCTCTTTCTCCCTGGAATTTCTGGTGCATGCTTAACTGCCTCTGGCTAAAAAGCAACACAATTTTTAAAGGAAAAAACGTGTAGGTGTTTAATGCATAGTGTTGACACGTACTTTTTTTGTTCCTCATATTTTTTTTTGGAAAATGTAGAATTGCCAGGAGGGTTTTACATCTGAAAAGCCATCTCTGCACGGGCCCCTGGCAGCCCTATCAACAGTTTTTATCTGCAGCACGAACTGACAGCCCCTCACTGGGAAATAATTGCGGCTCCGTGGAGTCCAGGGCAGTAATTACCGTGTGTTGATGAAACTTTTTCTCTTTGCTTGCGTTGTGATATCTCTGAATGTCAAATTCACTTGGGCTGACAACATAATTTCCCCAGCAGAGCTCTTGCATCGAGCATGCCACGCTGCTGGGTCTGGCTGGGGGACTTTTCCAGTGTGCTGAATTCCTGATTCCCAGGGGAATCTCAGCCTTGCAAAGCCCTGTCTTGGGATTAACCCCGAGTCCTGCTGGGCTCGGCCAGCCAGGCACAGGAACGAGGGGTGGCTGTAGAGCTATGGAACAGCTCTTCAGAGCGAGTCAAAAAGGAATCAACCACAAAATAACCCCCTCCAGACAGGGGAGGCTCGGTTTGTTTGCATTTCCGTGCAGTTTCAGTTTGGGATGATGAATTTCTGCAGGCATGGGGAAGCCATCCTTGGCAGTGCTCAGAACAAGTGTGAATGTGGCATTCCAGGGGGTGATGTGGTGAATGTGCTGGGGGTGCCGGGTTGATGATGGGATTTGGTGATTCTTCCTAATATCCAACCTAAACCCACCCTCCTTCAGCCAGAATTTCCCTCCAAAATCAGTAAAAAATTCCCAAGCTGCTGGCACTGGTAATCTCCTCTCCACAGAGCAGAGCGAGGGCTCTGTGGGTCCTGGAGAGAAAAACATCAGCTGCTCTGCAAAGACCATTTCCAGTCTAGCAAGGCCCATCCAATGCAAAGCAAAAGGAGTTTCACCCAGTGCATCTCTACGTAAGAGATGGACGCAAAAATATTGACTTGAAGGATTTGTTTGTTGTTTTAAGCGGGCATGTAACAATAATGAAAGTAGAAACCATCATGCTCATCACAGAAATTGCCTCATGTTTTGTCTTGGAGGCATAAGCTTAAAGAGAAACAACAATGAATTCTTGTAGACCAAAGCAAAAACTTTGTGTCCCAACCCTAGCAAGTCAAAAGTGATTTTGGGGCGTGTTTGTATTTCCTGCACTGTTAATTGCTCATTAAACACCATCCATTCAGCCCTCCACTGCCTCTGCCACAGCAGGGAAAGCTGAGGTTCAGCCCTGCCCAGGAGTCTCATGGTTTCAGCAGTGAGAAATTGTGTGTGTACTGTAAATGGAATAACTGGAGTGTTCACAAGATCCACGCTGGCCTTACCTCTGGAGATGATTATTAAAGAGAGCGCAGAGGGAGTAGGAGGACAAAACATGTGATGAACAATATGCTCTCATCTTCCTCTTGTTCCCTCTGATTTACATCTCCAGCATCAGAGCAGCCTGTAATGTTTAATGGAGATAATTGAATATCATTTGGAGACAAGATAGCTCTTTTTAGCAGTGGAACAGATCCTGCTTAACAGCTGAGCTAGCAGCAGTAATTCAGCAGTGAGCTGAATTCTCTTCCAGGGGTGCAAGGAAAGCTCAGACTCTCTTCCGTGGTGGGAAGGAAAAGCAGTGGAAATCAATTGGTTTGGCCAAGGTGCTTAAATGTGATTAGAGGTGAAGAAAGTCTTGTGAAAACTGGTATTAGGGAGCAGTTAAGATTCATTCTGGTGCCTTAATTGGAGGACCAAGGAAGTCAAGTGATTTGATTCTCCAGAAGTTGAGGATCAATGTTGTTCCAGCAGGTTTTATTGACTGGGAGATGAAATCTGATAAGGACTGAAGATAAGGAAGGGAGCTCAGCTGTCCCCATTGGTGCAGAGCAGAGCCCTGGCTGTGTTTGGGTCTGGGAGGATTTCCTTGGGCAGAGCCCAGTCTGTCCCAGTTCAGAGCCCAGTCTGTCCCAGTTCAGAGCCCAGTCTGTCCCAGTTCAGAGCCCAGCCTGTCCCAGTTCAGAGCCCAGTCTGTCCCAGTTCAGAGCCCAGTCCCAGCTGCTGTCTGGGTGTTGTCTGTCCCGGCACTGACAGCAGGTGGATTTTGGCCCAGATTCAGGTTGTATTTCCTGGTGGCTGCACAGGAGGTGAGGGAGCTGCTCTGTGCTCTAACAGGGGCAGCAAATCGCTCTGGGCAGGTTCCACAGCGCTGAAGGCAGCACTAACCAGGCTCTGCTTTATCCTGTTAACACATATTTAGTGTTTGTATATTGATTTTATATAATGTTTTGGACTTTCAGATTCACATTAGTGTCTCGTTAACTGCTGTCAGGCCACGGATGGGTTAAACACGTGAGCTGTTTTGGGATTAAAACTGGGCTTTTTCTCCCCAGCCTGCTGTCAGTGTGAGCAGCCCAAACGAAGGGAGGATAGGGAGCTGTGAATAATTCCGTGTTATCTCTGAGGTCTGACTGGCGGGTGGGAGGAAATCTGAGCGTTCCCCGGAGCTGAGGGAGGATGATGAGGAACGGGAGCTGTGCTGGGATCCTGCAGGACAGGGCATCGCTTCTCACACCCGCTCCACCGCTGGAAATGTCACCGCAGCGGCTGGTCTGAGAGGCAGATTGGTTTATTCTTACCGTGAAAAGGCAGCGTTAGTTAATTAAGAGAGGAGCTCTTCCCTGCTGCTCTGGATTAGCGTTGGTGCTCACGGCTCCCTCCCAGAGATTCGGGGAACGATGGAATTGGGCAGGTCCTGAAACGATAGACTTTTGTAATTAAATCTCATTTAAATGAGCACCTAAATGATCTTGTATTGTGGGATTACCCATTCCCAGTTTAGCATAACAATGACCGCCCATGAGCGTGTCACAGAGCCCGGGGATTGCGCAGAGCGGGCGCGGATGATGATGATGATGATGATGATGATGCTCCGGGCAGTTGCCATGGCAACGGTGTGTTCTAATTGTGAGCCATTAGTAGCAACAAGAATTGGCTGGCTCCAATCAGGGAGTTAATTAAATGCTCGCTCGCCCGGCTCTGAGAGGAGTAAGGGAGGGAATGAGCAGCTCCCGGTGCCGGTCCCGGAGCCTGCCCGTGCTCCCGGAGCCTGCCCGTGCTCCCGGAGCCGCTCCCGGTG